AAGTAGGAGACTGTCAGGAAAATAACTAATGTAGAAACATGATTCAAATGGTAGAGAGCTTGCATAGCAAGTACAAGGTACTAATTCAAGAGTAGTACTGCAAAATGAATGCATATACATATACATCCATGCATACATATATACATAACTATTCACAGCTCAGAGGCAGCTGATTAGCTTTGGCCCATGAACTACTGCTTTGCTATTGGTGGCCTAGGCTACAATAAAGAGTATATAATTGCTTAAAGATGTACAAAACTTCTGTACATCAGAGAGATGAAAGGGATTTCTTCTGGAAGAAGATATGGAGAAGGTGACATTTGAACTGCTTATAGGGTGGGATGTAAATGGGCACTTGGAAGATAAAAGGGAGCATTGTTTATGGCTACTGTAAGCACAACAGGTGTAAACCTTGGCTGTCCAGGAAGCCAGGGAGGAGGGGTGTTCTTGTTGCCACAAGCAGATATCCCTGAGTTTAGTCAAGGAGGAATACACTGTGTAGCAATGAATGAATAAGGTCAACCTAGTTAGAGCTCATGGGAGGGAATTGTGGGAGATAACGCTGGACAGACAGTGTGGGGCTAAAAGTAGAATTGAGCTTGAAGATTAGACATGAAATTAGACATTTGGAAATTCCTAAGTAGGTGGCATAGAATTGCTGCAATTTCTTAACAATAAAATGATATCATCACATACCAGGCATACCCATAACAACTGGGATCAGACTACTTGCAGAAGTCCAATAGACCATGGCAATATTTAGAGAGGATGAGAGGATCTGGGCTGAGTCCAGGCAGCAAGAACACAAAGGAAAGGAGAGATAAAAGACACATCAGAGCCAAAGAGTCAAAGGGACTTAACAATTGAATATAAAAGATAGGCTAAGAAAAATGGAAGTCAAAGGAAATGCCTAGTGACTCCATGCATATTCTATTTGTAAGTGAGAGATAAGAGGCAAGGGAAATCTGCAAACGCATATATAATTGAGATTTTACTTTTAATATACCTGGAAAAGAGATACAAGGTAGGATTTCTGTAGATCCTTCAGTATCTGTTTCTGTAGATAACCACAAATAATTCTGTGGCTAATTTTTTGTGCTGCTACTGGGGCTTGAACTCAGGGTGTTAACCTCAGATTGATAGAGATTGGCTAGCACTCTACGTGAGCCACACTTCCACCTCCTGTAGTTAAGTTTTTCTCTCTCTCTCTCTGTGTGTGTGTGTGTGTGTGTGTGTGTGCATGTCCTGGGGCTTGAACTCAGGGCCTAGGTGCTGTCCCTGAGCTTCTTTAGCTCAAGGCTAGTGCTCTACCATTTCAGCCATAGTGCCACTTCCAACTTATTATGAGTAGTTTATTGGAGATAAAAAGTCTCATGAACTGGGCTGGGAAGTTGGCTCAGTGGTAGAGCTCTTGTCTCGAATGCATGAGGCCCTGGGTTTGATGACTCAGCACCACATAAGCAGAAAAAAGCTGGAAGTGGCACTGTGGCTCAAGTGGTAGAGCGCTAGCCTTGAGCTGAAGAGCTGAGGGACAGTGCCCAGGCCCAGAGTTCAGACTCCAGGAATGACAAAAAATAAAGTCTCTTGAATTTTTCTGCCAAGGCTGGCTTCAAACAGCAATCCTCAGAACTCAGCTTCCTGAGTAGCTAAAATTACAGGCCTAAGCCACTTGCAGTTAACCTTTGAAAATATTTTTATTCCCTGGAACCTCAATATGAAGAGTTTTGAGTGCCTTTCTGTAACTATGGTTGAGGTGAATGTGTGTGTGTGTGTGTGTGTGTGTGTGTGTGTGTGTGTGTGTGTGAGAGAGAGAGAGAGAGAGAGAGAGAGAGAGAGAGAGAGAGAAAGAGAGAGAGAAGAGAGAGAAACAGAGAGAGAGAGGAGAGAGAGATAGAGAGAGAGAGAGAGTTGGGCCTATTTCTTCTATTTGTTTTCTTTGGAAACCAGTGGGATGCAACCCACTTTTGACTCATACAGTAGTTCTTAGTGCTTGCTGTGATGAGGGAAATAAACCCAACAGAGAACAAGGTACTGCCAGGACTGTCCTCTAGTGAGAATACTATTCAGGATCATTCTCAGCTCAGCTTGTATTAGCCAGTTAGCTCAATTATTGTCAAATTAAACACTTGATTCTTTTTTTTAAAAAAAACTTGCTCATTTCCTACAGAACATTTAGCATGATGTCAGATATCTTGAGATTAAAAGGAGGGGAGTATTATCCTTTTGAGGGATGAGAACAATATCTGGCCTGCAATAAGACCCTCAAGATTATTTGGTAAATTAGTTTAGATATGTATGGATCTTGTGTGCTTTTCAGCTGCACTTAGCTTTCTGCTTATATGGATAAGATGTTATAAAATCCAAATAACCCTTGCCCATTTCCTGTCAAGTTTCAGTGCTACAACTGATAAAAGTTGAATTGAGCTTCTTCTATACTCCTTAACTAATAAAATGGTATCTAAGCTATATTTTAAATCTTGTTCAAGTACAATTTCTCAGTAACTTTCTAAATACTGAGTTTTTGTTATTCTTGGAGAAACAATATATGAAGAAAGAAAGGGAAATAAGTGAGAAAAAATAGTAAGCAATTATAGCAGATGATTATAATAATTACCTGAAAGTACACACACACACACACACACACAAACACACACATTTTTAAAGAAACGTTCTAAAGTAATGAAGGGAGTCAAATCACATCCAGGAAAATAATTTAACCCTATTAAATTCTCTATTTACAGCTTTCATTTGTTCAACACCCTTCTTTCTGTGTTTAAGATAAGACTAAGCATTCTAGCCCTGAAGGGCCGTGTGCTATTTCTCTAAATCAGTGTACCAGAGAAACTGAGCTGTCTATCCGATAGTGGGGGTGTGGTGGGAGGAGGTTGCTGGGGAATGGTTGAGTGCTCGGAATAGTCCGGGCTGCTTCAGTGCAAAACCCATATGGAGCCCCAAATCAAACTGACATCTGTTCAGCATGCCAGCAGCAAGGGAACATGGGTTTCACTTTTTATAAAAATTTCCATTTTTTGCCTTGCTTTTTTCTTTGTGCATTAGCCCTTGAAATCGGTAAGTTTCTTTCATTCATCATTCTGTGGTACCTCTTCCCATGATCACTACATAACTTAACAAAATTGTAACAATACAATATGTTACATTAGACCATGTAGAACTATTTTATGGCATGTATTATGTATAATATAAATGATGTGTGTTGTGAGATTTTAGGCAAGAAAAGGACCAGGAAGAGAGGAATAAAAGATTCACAGGAAAGTTATTGGGGTACGCTCCCGGGCGAACTCCCTAGTCGGGATCAGAGAGGTCGCACTGAGTGTAGTTGTAGCAGAGCTTTTACAGGCAGGGTAAAAGCAGCACTTGTAGTGAGCAGGCAGGGATGGGGAGGTAGGGGTGTGGGCGCGGGGGTGGGGGGAGAGTGGGGAAGTGGATTTGTGCACGCATCTTGTTTTGCCAGTTTGAGCGGTCTTAGGCCAGTGCACTAGAAGAATGGTTGGCTCAGATGATGTTTTTGGTAGGGACGTGGTCTTTCTGGGCAGCAGCCTGCCCTTTTTCCCAGCTGCCTACTTCCTCCAGCAACCTGACACACACACACACACACACACACACACACACACTAATATATAATAGATCTCTCTATATAGTACACATATAAATATATAATATTTTAGGCTTCAAAATGGTAGATCAACCTGGCTGTGCCTCCAAGCACAGCCTTGCTACCTCTCCTGGGTAGAGATGATTGCATATTAGGGCTTTGACTACCGCAAGATTTCTAATTAAAGCACACTTGTGTTCCGGTTTTCCTTGTTTGTATCTTTGCCCACAGGCATTTTTTATGAGGTGTCTGGCTACTTGACCATCATGACAATACGAGACCCCACCCTGAGTAGGATGTGTCAGAATGCACATGACTCAGACACTGTCCACACACACCTAGATGGGGTTTTAGTACTGGTGGTCATTACTAGAAAATTAAACTTTTATTTTTCCCCCTTATTAGTGCTCTTGTAATTTGGCTTATATTTGTCTGCAAAACCAATAAAATTAAATACTCTTGAATTGAAATTGAATTTAAATAAAGGATACCTTGTTTCTGGGTTGACCAAGATTACTTTGCTCTATGAAAGATCCATTTTGTATAGAGTTATAGGAAAGTAGGTGGTCAGTTTTTCAATCCAGATATTTTGAGGCTTCACATAAAATTGTGATTACATACATTTAACAACTAAGGGAAAATCAGGAGGCACTGAAGACCTAAAAGTATACTTAGCTCTGTAATGACCTCTTAAGTAAATCATCTCCCTTTGCCACCTCCTAATAATGTAGTAATACTGTTATGAAGCTGAAGTTGTGAGAAAGTATGAAAGTATAATATAACATAATTTTGGACCAACGTTGGGTAGGCATGAAGAGAAAAATCATAAAACCAAAAAGCTTAAATTAGGGTTTGCTAATTTAAATTAGGGTTTGCATAGCATCTGCCTAGCAAGCATGAGTCCTACGTGAAAATCCAGTAATATCACAAACCTTAAAATCTTCAAATTAAAATAATACCTACTTGGTGTTGCTGCATTCTTATTTTACAAGATTAAGTATTTTACAAATAAAAAACAGAATAAATGCTAAGAATTCTGAAGGAGCATTTTTAATCATAGACTGTGAATCTGTGTTGCTACTGAAGACTTTTAGTTGAAAAAAATACATGTGATAGACCTTTCAGAATTATTGGAGATTTATATATATATATATATATATATATAGGATATATATATTGGATATATATCTATATAAGTATATAGATATAGATATATATCATCTATCTATCTATCTATCTATCTATCTATCTATCTATCTATCTATCTAGCTGTCTATCTATGTGATGGCATATCATTGTTATCATCTTTTCTCCCTACCTATGTTTTGTACAATGAACAAAATATTTGGGATGCTTTTTAATTCTTTTTTTTCCTTTCTGTCTTTAGGAGGTGTACAGATGTTCTGTGCTGCATAATCTTCGTTGTGTTTATTATAGGCTACATTGTCTTAGGACTTGTAGGTAAGTAAATAAAGTTATAGAGGATGCTTCATGTTTGCTAATGGAACAACTAAATCAATGTCACATTTTAAGTATTAATTCCTTTCTTCTAAAAGCCTTATGTTTGATGACTGTCTTCATGAAAGAAATGTACCTCAAAAGGATTAGTTGGGTAGCAGACACAAAACAAAATAAACACAAGGAGGTTAGTCAAATGCAAGCAAAAGATCCTCAAGTAAATATTATTGAAAAAATGGGGAAAAGCCATATGGTTTCATTTTTTATGTTTTATTTTACTTTTAAAATTCTATTAAGGAGCTGATTACATTAACATTGTTATTTAGTTATATAAACCAAGGTCTAAATCAATTCAGGTAATGTATAAACTTGTCTTTTTTTTATAAGAGAATTCAAGAGAACAGTTTTTAAGAATTTCACTAGATGATTCATTTGAATATAAGGAGTCTTGTTCTCCTTGCTCATAAAAAGGAAATATCCTCTTGCTTATTGTTACGAATCTTTCTATAAAGTAAAAATAAAGAGACTAAATACACAGGTTTCTTTTATTTGGGTCTTTCAAATTAAAAAAAAAAAACTACCAAAGAAATTGGAGAAGATAGCTTCTGTAAAAAAAGATTTTATAATATTTTTAAGGTTAGTCTACATTTTTTCTCCAGTGATGTAAGTTCTGTTCTTTAGATGTTGACTTGGGAAACCTTAATATGCTACTGTTTGGTGGGAGCGCTAGTACCATTGATGACTTGTGGTGAAGGTGGATAGAATGTCTTAACAGAAAGTTGTGCCCTACCTAGGGAACAATGGCACATACTTTTCTCCAGCCTTTGGTTATCTTCCAATAAAAGAAGTCTCGAGCATAGTATTTAAAAATAATTTCAGACTTAGAGAGCAAATAGGAAAATGGGAATGAGAGGAGAATATAAAATCATAAAATACAAAAACAAACAATACATTCCTAAGGTCTTCAGAAGATTCTCTTTCTTGATGGACAAAACCAAATTTATCCTTATAAAACCTCCGGGACATTCTTTGGTTCCTTTGTAGGTATTTTAACTTCTAAACATTAATGTACATGTATCACAATATACATCCTATCTTACACAAGAAGAATTTTTCTTTTTTCTTTTTTCTTTTTCTTTTTTTTTTTTTGTCGGTCGTGCAGCCTGAACTCTGGGCCTGGGTGTTGTACCTCAGCTCTTCAGCTCAAGGCTAGCGCTCTACCACTTGAGCCACAGCGCCACTTCCGGCTTTCTTCTTTTTGCTTATGTGGTGCTGAGGAATCGAACCCAGGGCCTCATGCATGCAAGGCAAGCACTCTACCACTGAGCCACCTTCCCAGCCACAAGCAGAATTTTTCATTTTCTAACTTTGGGACACTTTCTTGTCTGTGTAATTCTGATTATTTCATTTAACTTTTGTCATAGCATTGAAATTGTATAGGAGATGGACGATTTGGAGTCAGGCTGATCTATATTCACCTTATAGTTGATGGAATTAGCTTATTATTTAATCTTTTTCATCATCTGAAAAAAAGAACACCATTTGTCTTACAGAGCTCTTGTGAGGAGTATTTAAAATAACACTTAGCTCCTTAACAACCATATTTATTGATACTAAGTAATAATTTGCTTGCTACCATTGCATAAGTAACCTAGTTCTAATTTTACTACAGTCATTTTACTTTTTATTTTTATTTTTATTTGTTGTTGTTGTCGTCGGTTGCGGGGCCTGAACTGTGGGCCTGGGAGCTGTCCCTCAGCTCTTCAGCTTCAGGCGAGTGCTCTACCACTTGAGCCACAGTGCCACTTCCAGAGTTTTCTGCTTATGTAGTGCTGAGGAATTGAACCCAGAGCTTCAAGCATGCAAAGCAAGCACTCTACCACTGAGCCACCTTCCCAACCCCTACAGTCATTTTAAATGAGTTAACTAGACTGCTTCATTTGCAACATGCAGTTCTGGTTGATAAAGTATGAATAAACACAGGATCTTCCCAAAGATTTCAAGCTTTTATCAGAATCTTTCCATCAGGAGGCTAATTCCTCAAGTATATAAGTCTCTGCCATATATTTAAGCCAGTCTGATATAACCAGAGAGAAATATCCTTTATATTTATACAGAGAGATCCCATGCTGACAAAATAGAGGAATGAAAGCTATCATTCCTCCTGAAGCCAGACAAGAAATTCTTCTTTTTGTTCAAGGTTTACAGAATAATCAGTTTGTCAGTTTTTTAATTCACAGACTCAAAAGTTGCAGGACAAATGGTTTCCAAAGAAAAACTCTGTTACCCCAAGTTAATATTGATTCCACTACTTGGAAAAAAATGACACAAAAATTCACTAAATCTGTATGTACTTTCCTCAGGCCTGAACTACAAAATAGCCTAATGGCTAGTTCTGAAGTATGAACTTCACTCTTCAATCATGTTTCATGCTGAACTAAAAGGAGCACAAAGGAAAATAGTTGGCTGGAGTTTCTAGTGGTATTAATATCATTATTTATTAACATTATTATTCAATATCATTATTTATTAAGAAAGAACATGTACCATCACTTGAAGAAAGATGATATTAAATCATTTTCATTGGCATGAGATATTTTGGTGTTTTGGGGTTTTTTTGCCATTTTTGTTATAGCAAGACCTTCACAGACTTACCTTTTGTCCAGGATCTTTTCATAAGTGTTACCACAAAAGAGTCAAATTTCTCAAAGAAACCGTTCTTGGCATTTTGAGGAGAATATGCCAGCTAAGGCAATACTCCAATGCAAGTAAGGCCCTTAATTTTCAGCCATGAAAAGCAGAATCTTAGTTCAAGTGGATGGGGTGAAATCTGGGTAGCAGGTAATCAAATCTCCTTGAAATATCTAGCTAACATTTATGGTAATAGGCCTCTTTTGTCCTACATCCCTGTTGGTGACTGTTCAGTTATTGTACTAGCTAGAAAAAAAGAGTATTTACTATGCCAATTATTCATTGCCATCCTTGTGCTAACATGATGTATACAAGAATAGCACAATTTTAACATTTATTTTATTTTCTCTCAAAATGGATTTCCGGTTGAGCAGGTTAATTCATTGTTAAATTTATTTAGATAGAACTGCTTGAAGTTGGAGCACAAAGTTTGTTTTGGTTTTGGCTTTTAATCTTTCTCAGAAGTAATTAACCTTATTAGCTGAAAAGATAGGAAGTTCACAAGAATATTAATGTGAGCAAGCACAAAACTGTCAGCATGCTTTGCAAAGCCCAAACCTAATGGAGAAACCTCTTTATAGGGTTCCTAGACAAGGGGCTCAGCTGGATTCCCAGGAGTTAATTAGCTCTATTGGAAAGATGAATGAACATTTGACTGCGTGAGAGACCTCAAGGGAGAGCTATAATTCCTGTCCAAAGATTCCTGATCCCTACATTGTGAGCAAAATCTGTGAGCAACAATTGATAAGCAGAACAAAATTTAGTTCATAGAAGTAGTATTTCTGGCTTAGCAAGACCTAACATTTAGACATTTGTTTAAAGACTTAGAGGCCCTTAGATCTTGGAATTTTGTGAGAATGTGAGGGAAACTGTAATTGCAAGAAAGAGGGAAAGGCATGTTGATTCGTTGCAGTGCAAAGTTTGGCAACACTATCTTTTACAGTGAGGTGGGAAGTACTAAAGATACTCAATTAATTCAGTGGTACAGCTGAAGGGATCATCCTTAGGAGAGGAACCAACCCTAAGAGTCTCTTCCACATCTACGCTAATACCAGTAATGAGATCTGGGCCTTGAGCCAGAATCTGATGCCATAACTAAAGGTGGCTTCTTAGCATTTAAAAGGAATATTTGTATTTGGAAGGAATGGAAGAAAACTTATGACCAAATTGAGGATTATGGAACTTTTACCATAATGCAGAAAATTCTTTGTCATTTCTCTCAATCTATAGGTAGAACCTGTGCCCCTTTCTCTTTGAGTCTGGTCAAGCTGGTGAGTGCTTCCTAGGGTAGATAAATAAAGGATGCTAGAGCAGACCAGTAAAAGATTTCCATGAGCAAGTAATTTATAGATCAATTTGAAGGATTAAGTATAATTCTGCCTAAATACTTTGTAGAATGAAGTAGAAAATAAAGTACTTCTATTAATAATACAGTGTGGTCAAATTTGACCTTATATTTCTAGGAGCAATAACAAAATCATATATCTGCTTTTCCATTCATTACTTAAGGAAATCCATCTTATAATACTCTTTCTGACCTGAACTGTCCCAAGACACCAGGGAGGGATCTATCATATTTCTAATTTCTATATGAAGAGAGACTTTATAATGTCCTTGAGCATTTTACCCTGTGGAATCATTGATCTTCTGAACTGTTTACTATTGTGTTGGCTTCCTGTATCAGGATTAAAGATTATGTTTTGTAGTAGTTGTTGTTGTTGTTGTTGGTCATGGGGCTTGAACTCTGGGCCAGAGTATTGTCTCTCAGCTCTTCAGCTCAAGGCAAGCTCTCTAGCACTTGAGCTATAGTGCCACTTGCAGTTTTCTGGTGGCTTATTGGAAAGACTCTCACGGACTTTCCTGCCGGGGCTGGCTTTGAACCTCGATCCTTAGATCAGCCTCCTGAGTAGTTAGGATTACAGGTATGAGCCACCCAGTGCCTGGCTGATTATGCCATTTTTTAAGTCTTTAAACAATGCTTAGCAATTGCTTCCCAATGCATATTAGGCATGGAGTAGCTGTACGGAAGATGGCTTTCTGCTCTCTCAGAACCAGCCCAAATATCCAGTCTTCATAACATGTTAGTTGTCTTGGAGAGTATTTTAATTTCATTTTGACAAACAGACCTGAGGGATCAATCTATTCTCTCCTAAGCGAAAATCATAGGGAGAAATGTCTAAGGCCTTGTTTTTTTTCTTCTCTTGAAGCAAATTGGTCTTTCCCTGTCCCAAGGGATAGGATGAAAGGAGAAAACCCATGTTTTGAAACTGAGACAGGCCACTCAAATGAACTATAGAATGACTAGCGATAGA